CACAGTTGACCTATCCGTACGTCAATCCTATTGGGATGCAATGCCAATGAGAAACAGCTTTGAATGGTCCCCAGTCTCCATTATCGATGACTTCTGATGACTATTGGCAAATGATGTTTTCTTTATTTCGCATATTCCATTAAGCCAATATGGGGAGTCCGAACGTCATCTTAACTATCTGATGTCCATTCTTTCATATCACGAATGCAGTCGATGAATTTGAGCGGTAACGATGAGGTCTATTTACTGTGGAGACAATCTAACCACAACATTGAAATGGTAGGACTTTGCCGTGTTTCTGTGCACTTCGACAGAAGCCTTAACCCCGAAAGTGTACGAAGGAAGCAGATTTAACGATTGTCAAAAATGTTTTATAATAAAAATAATCCTCAAAAAAGACGAGTACATTGTGAGAGGCCTATTAAAGAGTAAATAAAAAGGCACTTTTTAGAATGGTCAGACCTCACAAATGAATCGGAGTGGCAAATGATTCGTCGATTTCTACGGGTTCTGCATTGTTCTTAGGATCGGTTATGGAAAACAGTGGTTGGAGTCACTTGATAGAGTGAACGGAACAGTGGTTGATCAGCAGACACCTGTGACTTGTGGTCTCCGAATCCCTCATCCTCATCTCCGCACTTTCTTAGAATGATCAGTATCACAAGGAGAATGAGAAGTAGGCCGTTGGCAGTCCAACCCACCCAGAACGATGGTGCATACTCGCTCTGAAAGCACTACCGTCAAGCAAAGATCGTTTGTGAGTCAGTGAGATTACCATCAATCGCCTCAAGGCTTTTTCAGACAAAATTATAAGATGCAGCTTTGAGCATCTCTTCGATGGAGGCGCTTTTAACATTTACTTTATTAGAGGTAGATGAGACGACCCACCTTTTCCTTCATTTGAATCCACATAGCCATTGAAACAATGTTGGCAATCACTGCAAAAAAAAGTGAAATTGCTTATTTCACACAATAAAATATTAACTGCAATGAGCCCAAAACTCAGTCAGTAGGTTGGATGTAGGTAAACCGTAAACGCATGACCGAAGGAGGAACTCACGTGCCAAGACGTCGAGGAGGATGTAGGCCAACGCAAAACGAGACATGGCGCGCGAACAGGAGGAAGAGTCGCGACAACTACCACAACTCAATATAATCACAAACACCGTCATGATGGCGACGATAGAACCGGCTATGCTTGCAGTGACCAACGATATGAGGTATTCC